GAGTCCGGGCCTCCTAACCACAGTTACCAGCCATTCCTCCTGCGGCGCAGAGCTCCAATCCGACACTTAGGAAGTGTGGGCCTTACCTGTCAGACCTGGCTGTCAGGGGGAGGATGAAAGCCAAACGTGTCCCGTTGTTACTGCCCACCCTCAGGGGACTTCAGGGAAAACGGACTCGAGGATGGAGAGAAATACGGGTACAAACCCCTGCTGTCTTCTCTTTCTGGGGACAGATTTTTAGCGTGTTTCATCATACTTTTTGGAATGAACGTCAGCCACGTGCCATCTTTCAGGGACAGTGGTTAAAACTCCTGTTCAGCTAGAGCTCTTTAGTCAAATTACAGCTAAATTCATTGGTGGAAAGTCTTAACCTACCACATGAAGCCAACTCAAATGGTGACATTAAAGAAAAATCATATTACAAATATGTAGAAAGTGAAAGGATCTACACCTGAAGCTTGTAGTATTTTAAAGGTAGCTCTACCTTTGAGAACCTAATTTTCACCAGGCTATGTATGAGCCACTTTCTTAGAAGAGCACAGGAGCGTATTTAACAGTAAACTTTGTATACAATTTCAGAGGTTCAGTGGCCCCATAACCTATCCTGGATCTCAGGTTACTCAGGTTAAGAATTCCCATCTGTATTAGTTTCTATTGCTTATAACAGAATACCTGACACTGGGTAATTTATAAAGAAATGAAATTTATTTCTTACAATTTGGAGGCTGGGAAGTCCAAGGTGCAGGGAACACACCTGGTGAGTGCCTTCTTCTACAAGGACACAGAGGGTCTCATGGCAAGAATGGGCTGAGTAAGAGAGAGCTAACCTGCTCACTTGCTCTCCTGTTAAAGCCATCAGAACTATGCCCCGTTAGCACTCATTAAACCATCAATGGATTAATCCATTCAGGAGGGTACAGTCCTCACAATCTAATCACCACTTAAAGGCCCCACCTTTCAATTATCATAATAGGATTTCCCACCCTCTTAACACTGTTAAAATAAAGATTAAGTTTCCAATACTTGAACTTTTTTTTTTAAAAGATGACTGGTAAGGGGATCTTAACCCTTGACTTGGTGTTGTCAGCACCACACTCACCCAGTAAGCGAACCGGCCATCCCTATATGGGATCCGAACCTGTGGCCTTGGTGTTATCAGCACCACACTCTCCCAAGTGAGCCACAGGCTGGCCCCTCCAATACTTGAACTTTTGAGGGACACTTTTAACCCATAGCACTATCCATGCCAAAATGTACAATTCAATGATGGGATTTTGGGGTTTTTGTTATTTTGTTTGGGGGTTTTTTGGTGGCTGGCCAGTACAGGGATCAAACCCTGAACCTTGGTGTTATCAGTACCATGTTCTAACCAACTGTTAGGTTATTTTAATCTCTGTGATATTGTGTTTTTCAAATTTTCTAAAATTAGTATTACTTCTGTAACTAAGAAAAGTTATTTTTAAAAGCTGCAAGAAAGGAAGGAAGGAAAGAAGGAAAAAAGAAGAAGAATAAGCTTCCTGCTCACTAAGTTAATGATCACAGAGTGACTGATGTGAGAGATGGGGCAAGAATAAAGTGGGGTTACAGTCATTGGTCACCTAAAACTTTGGTCTAAGCCAAAAGGACAAAAAAGGTGTTCTCATTTCTACATGTTTTTCTACATTTCTCCTATATTCCAACAGATTTGCTAAAACGTAATATGTATTTTTTGCTTCTACAATCAGGAGCTGCCTTCTGTGTATTATACCTTTTCAACTAATCCTTCCTCATATTCCCTTGTTTTCATGGATAAGTTTCCAATATTTCTGCCTAAACTTGTTTGAGCTCTAAACATAAAAGCTTCTTTTTTTTTTTTTGTCTTTTGTCTTTTTCCGTGTCCGGCAACGGATCGCAACCCTCAGTGTTGCCCCCGTACCGGACCGGGGACTGGCAACGGGACTGCAACCCTCGGTGTCGCTCCCGCGCCTCGCTCAGCCAGTGAGCGGGAACCGGTCTGTATGTGGGATCCGAACCCTCGGGCGGGAGCGCCGCCGCGCTTCCCAAGCGGCGCACTATTCAGTGCGCCACCGGGCCGGCCCGAAAGCTTCTTAAGAGTAGAAGATACAACTTTGTTGCTGTCCTTTTTTTTTGGCAGCTGGCTAGTACAGGGATCTGAACCCATGACTTTGGTATTGTAAGGCTGTGCTCTAACCAACTGTGCTAACCGACCAGCCCTGTTATTGTCTTAACAGTTGAGCATTTGTTCATTCAAGGAGTTTCATAACACTAATAAATAAGGGTCTATCAGTTGTTTATACTGACAAGCTTCTAAGCAAACCATTGCCAAGTTGGACTTGGGTGGCTCAGATGACTGTTCTCAGGGCCAGTAAGAAGGTAGATGAGGAAATGCTCTAATTATTCCGTCCAATAGATTTAAGAGAAAGGGAAACAGGGGCTGCAGGAAGAGAACACTCTCACTGGGACAGCTGCTCCACGAACGTCATGGTAGGCCTTCCTTAGGCCAGTGCTGCTGCTCAGAAAGCTTTGTCAAGCCTCTAAAAGCCCTAAAAGGCTGACAAAACATCCCACTTTTAGGTAGAATCCTATCATTGAGAGTGGAAACAATCTAGTGTGGTGATCTCATGTTAATTTTCATCTGTGATTGATAAGAAAAAAAAAAAGGAAGAGTAATAGACTTAGCCTAGTCGATAATGTGTATTAAAACAGGGGTTTATGGAAGAACTAAAAGACATCTTTGTTGTTAAAAGGTAGGGAATAGCTGTAATACTTACCCGGGATATTTGTATTAGGTAGAAATAAGTATCAGTGTCTGTACTTTCTTTCACGCCAGGGACTATGCTGCTTTAACTGCCCCAAAATCATTCACTGACATATGGAAGAGGCAAAATTTGAACTCAGGCAGATCTGGCTTCTAAATACTAGCCCATTCCACTGCACCACACCATCTCCCAGAACTACAATTTATGATTGTAAAAAGCCTTGGAAGAATGCATGAACTGATCAATTTAAAAGGGTTTGGTGCATGCAACTCCCACACAGTGTTATGAAACTGTCCCAAGCATTTAGGAGAAACTGGGCGTTTAGAGACACCAGAATTATGCTTTCAAACTATGCCAGCAACATGCCATTCAACATACAAATGCTCAAAATGAAATTGCACTTCTGCCCTCAAAAAACCCTACTTGATAGCTTGGGTGTTTTTTATCATCTTTATTAGATGGGGTTATGAAACTTAAGTCCTTAATGTTGGTAAAACACTTTTCACTAACACTTTCCCTTGGGGGTGGGGGTACTTCATGATTTGGCCAGGATTTGTTCATCACAAATTAGGTCAACAGCCCAATCTCAAAAGAAAGCACCATTAATGACATGTTTCAAGGGTTTCCAAATCAGTCTGCTGGTTTTGGCAAGCTTCAGCAAGAGGAGGGAGGTAAGGAGAAGCCAGCTGCACTTCCCTAATGGCCTTCTGAACTTGGGTCCTGTGTCAAGGTTTCCAACTGCCCATACTAACAAAACTGAAGATTTTGCCCTCACTGCTATTGATAGCATGGAAAGCAACACACCTCTTTGGTGAACACAATTTTAGTTTTAATTGACCTGGTTCTGACAAGCTTTAAAAAAAAAAAAAAAAGGAGCAATTAAAGAGGCCAAATGCTGAAGCAAAAATCTTATTTAACAATGAGGATTTACAATAACAAGAAATTATCCCAAGTTCTTAACCTTTCAGTGATGATGCCGCCACAGAAAGGTTGAGGGGAAAAAAAACAACCTTAAAATATAGAATGTTTATTTCACTTTGCTCGAAAACAGTCAAGTAGCTTGATACAACTAAAGCCAAGATACAATGTAGCAATTTAAAAAATCAATACTGATGTTCAATCATTTAGTGATAGTGTTACCCTCTAAAGATTAGTGCAACAAGCAAAATACGTTAGCAGTTTTTACTTTGATGATTGCCTCGTGAAATTAGAAATGTTACCTTCCCACCCTCACTTACCTACCACAACAAACATAAATATGAAACAGGTACAGGCTAAGATGAATAATTTATTAGTCTTAAATGAGTCAAGTGAGATTTAAGACTGCTGGGAAGCTAAAAATTTTGGTGCATTAATAAATTACTAGCCACACCGGCCTGTGCCAAAAAAACAAAATAAAATCACCAGCAATTTAGACATTATTACTTTATGAAAGAGGGAAAAGTTGGTGGCCATATAGTGTTTTTATCATGACTTTTAAAAATCAAGCTAGTTATCTCTCTACTGGCCAGCCCTCAAAAAAGTAAAAATACAAATAAAAATAATAAAATCCAACTGGTTATTAAAAGTCATCCTCAAAGATACAAAATTTTACCCACAGATAAGTTAAATAAAAACATCCAAATACCTGTATGGATTCTAACAACTCCAAGAAAACTAGCACACTAGTAAGAATTTTATCTAAAATATGAAAAATGTATTTTTGGAAATCAGCTATCTCCTGTCCATTACCTCACTATTGGGTCATGCCTTTAACAGTCCAGACCTCACACTTTTTATCAACATGTCTATTACACTAGTCCCTCTGAAGCCATTAAGCTCCCCCTATCTTAAAGCAAAAACCTAGGGTGTCAAGTTTTACTTCTATATTATCTTTTCTCAAACTGAAGACTTCTGGATCTGGTATCCAAAAGGGACTCAAGCTGGGGAAAGGAAGAGAGGAGCAAGAAGTAGGTGGGAGAGGGCAGTCTGTAGAGCCACAGTTTTGTTACTTCTCTTCCACCTCCCTTTTATAGGAGCCTTTGTACACAAACAGCTGAGAAAGTGACCAAGGTCTCCATGCAAAATGCCCTACATTTGTAAGGACCACGAGGTTTCGTGTTCCCCACATTAGCTGTGGGAAGTGCTTCAACTAAGCATGAGCCAGTGTTCTCTAGTTCTGCACCCAACAAGATAAGCACTAAACACTGTTCCATGATGGGAACTTTAAAATCCTGTTATCTGCAACAGGCAAACTGCATTTTATGTGTCCTGAACTTGGAAGGTATAGCCTTCAGAGGTAGTTTCTGGCACATTTTGATCTTCCTCTTCCTAAAAATATTTAAAAACAATAATATAATTCCATAAATATGGCACATTTCTAAATAGCAGCCTGCCTAGAAGTCTATATTTACTCTTAAGGTCTTCATTTGTATATTTCATCTTTAATCTTATACCGTATTCTACTATTTGACATAGGGAGGGAGGGCTTGCTGAAACTTGGCGAGTTTGTGAATGCCTGAATTAAGGAATGCTACTACAGTAACAGAAAAATAAGTTGAGATTTTTCTTCTACATCTATCACTTTTCAGTTGGCAAAGGAAAAGACTGTTTACTAAGCCCAGAGTTTGGTCGTGGGGCTGCCCACCTCTCCATCAACTCCTACAATGACATCCACAGACTTATTCAAGATACTCTAAGATTCCCAAGGCTGTTCATTTAAAAGTAAACTGGTGACTTCTAAAATCGCAGGTTAAAAAGATCTGTATTATCATCAAGCCACACATTAGAGGAACAAATAAGTACATCATGTCCTACGTACACTGACATTTTGCTATAGTTTAACAAGGGTACAGGGCCCATTTTTAAAAATATTAGGGGAAAAAAAAAAGATGGAAAAAAACCTTTTGCATTTGACCTTACATGTGTGTTTTCCAAGTTGCTGTTAATATCACCATCCATTACTCACCTCTACAGAGAAATACTTCTCAATCAAGTTTAATGAAGCCTTGTATACAGACTCATTTTCATGGTTTTGTAGAGCTTCAATTTTGTCCAAGCCTCCACATTCTTCAATCATTATACTAAGTTTCTCAGTTTCACCTAGTTTCTCAGCAGCCTAAAAAAAAAAAATTCCAAGTTTACTAGCCTACACTCTGAATTTTCTATTTTAATGAAGAAAATATATCCATAATATGAGTATTAATATGTATCAGACAGAAATAAGCACTTAGTTCCACTTTACATTCTTTTTGAAACTCAAAGTGATCAGATCTATACCTCCCCTTAGCAACTACTCTTCAACTATAGCTTTCAGCCACAGAGATCTTCGAATAGCTTTCAACTTTTTCTGTGCATCAAAATCATCTGAGCAACTTTAAAAATAACACTACATTCAGGTTCAATTTGTCTGCTATGGGAACAGGGAATTATAATCTTGTAAAAGCATCTTAGATAATCCCAAAGTGTAGGCAAGGTAGAGAACCATTGTCTAAGGGTAAAGATGGCCTATGGGGTGCTAAAAACAAATTTCCCTGACTGGGGGCCAAGCCCGTGGCGCACTCGGTAGAGTGCGGTGCTGGGAACGCAGCAGCGCTCCCGCTGCGGGTTCGGATCCTATATAGGGATGGCCGGTGGTGCGCTCACTGGCTGAGCGCTGGGCGGCTGGTCTCAAAAAGGACAAAAAAAAAAAAAAATTTCCCTGACTGGGATATTTGTTAATATTATTAAATATTTATTAGGTATAAGAATGGTATGCAGTGTTAAAACACCAAGGTCAAAGGCTTAGATCCCTATACTCGCCAGCCAACCCCCCACCATTCCCCCCCCCCAAAAGAATGCTATGTATGGAGGTTAGATTTTTTTTTTTTAACGCCCTCAACTTTTAGGAGATACATAAATATTTACACATGAAATAACTGATTTGCTTCAAAATAACTTAGGGGATTAGGTGAGAAGAAGTAGGAAAATTGGCCACATAGCGACAATTTACACATGGTAATAGAAACACCAGTGTTCATTAACCCAGACTCAACTTCTTTATGTAAAAATTTCCAGAATCAGAAGTTTAAAAGTTGATGAGTAGGGCTTATCTACCATCGATCACTATGACAAAATGCCATAAGCTGGCAAGCTTGGATCAACTGAGGATGGAACCACAAGAAAAATTAGATAGCTCATTCAACTTTCATTTCACCAGGGGCTAGCAGTTAGCTTAGGTGGTTAGAACGCAGTTTTTTTTTTTTTTTTTTTTAAAGATGACCGGTAAGGGGATCTTAACCCTTGACTTGGTGTTGTCAGCACCACGCTCAGCCAGTGAGCGAACCGGCCATCCCTATGTGGGATCCGAACCTGGGGCCTTGGTGTTATTAGCACCGCACTCTACCGAGTGAGCCACGGGCCGGCCCTAGAACGCAGTTTTGTAAAACCAAGCAAGGTCAAGGGTTCAGATCCCCATACTGGCCAACCACAAAAAAACAAACAAAACAAATTTAATTTCACCAGAATTCAGTATGAACTTGGGGTATTAAAAGATCACTGACAAAATAAATAGGTATGAATAGTCACCACATAAGGACTTGACTTTGATTCAGGTCATGTCATCCACTTAATTCCTTTATCTCTCTTATAATCCCTGTCACATCTTTATCAAGAGCGTGGCCCACGTAAACAGGCTGATTCTGTGGCCTACTAATGACTAAATAGTAAACTGATTATCAAGCCCATATTCAAACAAATGCCACCCTGTTAGGACTTACCTGAAAGATATTTAAAATGGCATCCAGAATAACCAGAATAATTTTGATATCTTTCACAGTTAAGAGGTTCATCAACGGTTCTATTATGCCACAATGAACGAGGTATACAATCTGTTCAACTGTTCCACCACTTGTATAGTTGGTCACAGCCCATACGGCTTCCTTTTGTGTCTTAAAGTCTGCCTAATTAACATAAGGAAATGGTTTTATTTCAGAATAGTTGTATGAATAAGATTCCAAAAGTGCTGATTTACAAAAACAGTGACTAAAACTGGCAACTGGTTCTATCCAACCTTAAGTGAAACGGGTTACAAGCTACTACTGAGCAAAGGACTTTAAGTAGAAGCCAATATTGCACATTAAGAATCTTATCAAGCACAGCTTGTCTGTAAATACTAACAATCACTTGATTAAATCCTAAGACTTCATTACCTTGGAGAGGACACTGACAAGGAATGGGACTAATCCATGATTCACAACTTGCTGTATCTGGTCCTGACGGCCAGCTGTGATGTTTGACATTGTCCATGTAGCTTCCTTTTGAATATTAGTTTTAGGGTTAGTTAGCAGGCTGGGAAAGATGGCAAGTGCTCCTGCATCTATCACAACCTGAGTCTGTTCATCTGTTCCAGTAACAATATTCCCTATGGCTCTTAGTGCAGGAGTCTGAAAAAGAAAAAAAAATATTGATGTTGGCAGCCACCTCTTTTTCTCCAGCACTGCTCAAAAATTCTATACCCTAAAAGTTTATAAAAACTTTATACCATCTTACCTAAAAGACAAGTAAGAGGCCCATCATGGCCTGAAATAGGCAATATTTCAATATCGTTATCAATTGATTATACTCCTTGTACTTTATATTCCAATCTAAAATTTAACAGCTTACCACAATTGGCAATTCAGTAGCTCCTAGAAGCTTCACAAGTTGGGGCACAACTCCTGTTTTCACAACCATCTCAATCCGTTCATTTGGACCATCGGTAAGGTAAGAAATAGCCCATCATGTATCTGCTAATACTTCTGGATCATCATGATGCAGGAGACGAACTAGAGTGGGAAGAATCTGCTCAACAGCATCTAATGGTGGTGCAGGATTCTTGTTGCGACAAAGGTTTGAAAGAGTCCAGGTAAGATTACGTAGGTAACCACACTGGGGGACAAGAAAAAACCAATGATGTGAGGTCCTGTCTTCTGAGGAGGTGGGGAAAATTAGAATCAAGAAGTGAATAACTTAAGTTAGTAACTTACTGCTAAAGATGACATATCAGGAACTGCAAGAAGAGCCAACAGTGGGTCGACTGCACCATACTTGATAACCAAGTCTCGGAAAACTGAGCCATCACCTAAAAGAAAGCAAGATTAATCCTATCTATTTGTCCAGCACCATCAATGTTCAGTGACTAAATGCACCAGCAGAAATTCCCTAACTTACTTAGATGCCTCTGGTGCCTTTTTTAGATTCCACTTTCATCCCTAACAAGGGCCTGAAGCAAGCTCAAAAAAAAGTGAAACACAAAGGTCACCATTACCTATAACAAGGCCCTTCTTCTCCCAACCTTACTACGATTTGATTGATATTTAATCAAAAGAACTGTAAGTACCTGCAATGTTTCCTAGAGCCCATACAGCTTGTTCACTGATGTGAGCATGCGGAGATGCCAACAGGGAAATGAATGCTGGGATAGCACCTCCATCCACCACAGCCTTGGTCTGTTCTGATGTCCCAGAAGCAATGTTAGTGAGCGCCCATGCCGATTCAAACTGAATGGGACTACAATCCGTTCTGCCCAAGAAGGACACAAATTTTGGAATCAAACCAGCCCGGATAATATTGTCAATGGGGGGCTGTTTCTCCCTAGAAAGCAGTTTCCTAAGTGGAAACAAAAAGAGAAAGAAAAGTCGGTGATTAACAAAGAAATCTGTGTGAAAAGCAATATAAAATGCAATTAAGAGTTTAGACCTTTAGACAACCTCTTAAGTTAAGCACTAAATGCTGAGACAATCCTGGAACTTAAAAGAAGCTGAACAGATTACTTGCAAGGTGCTATATATGTGGTATGATTAACTATTTTTTTCTGAAAATTGAAGTATTACCAGCAATGTAGACAGCCCTCCTCTCTCCATCCCTGCAAAAACCTACTATAGATCTTGTCACTTTTCTGTTGCTGTTGTTATTGCTGTTTCTGTTTTTGTTTTTTGGTGGCTGGCTGGTGCGGGATCTGAATCTTTTTACCTTGGTGTCATAACACCATGCTCTAACCAAATGAGCCAACCCAACTGGCCAGCCTCTTGTCACTTTTTAAAAAACTTCTGACCTGACAGGCTTATGCTCTCATTGTTAATTTGTGTTTCCCTGGCTGCTGGTGAGGTTAAACATCTTTTACACGATCATTTGCAATTTGGATTTTTTTTTTTTTTTTTTTGCCCATTGTCAAGCTATAGAAATTATTAATCCTTCCTGTTATGGATATCACAAATATTTACAAATGGTGGGAGGTAAACATCTAAATATATATATTTTCTAAATGGACCTACCAACTCTAATTGAGTATTTCCCTGCCAGTGAGGTGAAATGCCTTTTTGATAAAAACTTTATTATTTTTCTTTTTTTTTTTTGGTCTTTTTCCATGTCCGGCAACGGATCGCAACCCTCAGTGTCGCCCCCGTACCGGACCAGGACCGGCAACGGGATCGCAACCCTTGGTGTTGCCCCCGTGCCTCACTCAGCCAGTGAGCGGGAACCGGTCTGTATGTGGGATCCGAACCCTCGGCGGGAGCGCCATCGTGCTTCCCAAGCGGCGCACTAGCGCAGTGCGCCACCGGGCCGGCCCAAAAACTTTATTATTTTTCTTAAAAAAATACACCAAAAGGTAAACAGTGATTATCACTGGGGGTGGGGTTTTAGGCGATTATAAAAAATATAGTTAAAGTTTCATCTAAGGGGAGATTTTAATATGTCAGGCCTATGAAAAAGAAAAAAAATTTTTTTTAATTAAAAAAAAAAAAAATAGGCCTATGGCTGCCTTAACCTTTACACTTTACTCGCACCATATGTCTGTCCCCTTCCTGCTGAAAAAATCTAAAAAGGCAAATTAGCAGACAAGACTTACCTAGCAGCTTGAGTAGCTTGGAGCTGGTTTTCCAAATTGTTGCTATTTATGCCTTTGACAATGTCCTCAACAGACCAATTTACAGTGCCCTAAAAGAAAAATTATCATTTTTAAGATTAAATACAAACAATAAGATCCATGCTTGTCACTGTAAAGACATTTTTTAGGTTTACAGTCAGTTACTAAAAGGTTAACCCAATATTTAATTTTGCCTGTTAAATATTCAATGTTTTATAAGTAGAACAGTTTCCAAATTTGGTGTCATGACTCACTGGAGTCTCAAGTTATGGAGTATTCAAGAATTTATCACTAAAAAAGGTAGCTGTGAACCATTTAAAAAATGAACAGAGCACACTGAAGGTTATTCCTACATCAGTCTCAATCACTTGCACTCAGATATGCTTTAGGGGAGAAAGAGATAATAAAGTTATAGGCAGTGTGCTAGGGATTTTCATACCTAAGGTTGTAAGTCTATGCATTTCCATGGTAGAGTGCTGCAAACATAAATGCTGTATGTTGTGAATCACAGTAGAGAGGTTTGGGAACCAGTCTTACCTTAATTCAAAAAGACAGTCTCCATTTCTCACTAGGAGTTTACAACCTAACAGAAAATTTGACAAGCAGATAAATGCCATATAACAAACGGTATATATGTGCAGTGTTATACAGCATTTACTCTCCATTTTTGGTGCAGAACTAGGGACCTACAGAGAAGGGAGTGTCTTTCCTGCTAGGCAGACCAAAGAGTGCTATAAGAAGAAGACTTGAGGGCCGAGCCCGTGGCGCACTCGGGAGGGTGCGGCACTGGGAATGCAGCGGCGCTCCCGCCGAGGGTTCGGATCCTATATAGGGATGACCGGTGCCGCTCACAGCGCTCACTGGTTGAGCGTGGTGTGGCCGGTCTCAAAAAGGACAAAAAAAAAAAAGAAGACTTGAAAATTATTACTCTACAAAGAGCACATACACAGCATTGAATGGAAAAAAAAAAAAAAGGTAAATGTGGAGTGGTAAATATAGGAAAGCATAATGTGGGAAAAACAAGATGTAGGAAAATGCCAAGTATCTTTGAAAGATGAAAGAGATAAATGTGAAAATCTCAGATGGGTCTAATTTATGGAAGGCCTTCATGGAGTATGGATGTTAAGCAGAGAAAGAATATGTCTGAGGCTGTACTTTAGGGAAAATTTTAGGAAAATTATGTGCATATTAGGAATATAGTATATGGCACAGAATGAAGGGAAAGATAAATTAGGAGGCTACTGTAAATATTTCAGGAGGAAAAAGACCTGAACAAAGCTGGTAACAAAAACAAAAAATAGACATCACCAAAAAAAAAAAGGCAGAAATAAGCCAGGAAGTGGTTGGTTCTGGACACATTAACTTTCAGTTAACATTGGACTGGTCAGGTCAGATCAAGGTACACAGCTAGTGTAGAAATGCAGAGAAACCTAAAAAGACGTTGGAGTCAGCTTCAGTAGATTATGGAAGGTGGGCAGAAAAGAACACAACCCATCAGAATTACTAATTGAGAGTAGAAAAGAAGATCGTCACAGATTTGATAGTTAAAATCATAAGACCAAGAATATTTTAAATTTCTAAGAAAAGCACATATTGATTTTCCAGGTTTACCATAATTCATAAACTAAGTTATATTTACCTGGTTGTTGCGGTTTTCCTGCAGTGGAGATGTAGCATCGTCAGGAAACGAGCTTACATTTCTCCTTTTTAGCATCTGGTCATCCTTCTTAGCTTTCCTCAGCTCCACATTAACTTCTATTCGGCGCCGCCTCATTTCCTTGAGAAAAGATAAATTGTTTCACCTATCCCATCAGTTTTTGTTGCCGAGTGAGGGCATTTAAAAAAAAAAAATCCCTCAAAAATTTTGCCCTTGCTTAAATATCTTCCCATTTTAAAAAATACCACGGGACCCTGTACCAGCCAGCCACCAAAAAGAAAAAAAAAAAAAAAAAAATACCACAGGGAAGCAGCAGAAGGTACTCACTGTACTGTCTTTTCCCTTGTTCTTGAATCTGTTAAGACGGGCAGCTGGTGAATTAGCATTCTCATTGGTGGACATGGTTATGAGACAAAGGAAGAAAGCTGGGGGGAGAAAAAAAAGTCCCTTTTGTCATTCTCCTTTGTCAACAACAAGAGCACTAAATAAGAATAGAATTATGAAGAATGTATTGAATCTGCACCTCTATACATTAGAAGAGGAACACTTCACTATGAAATACTTTTGGCCAAAGGATCATTGTCCCCTCCCCTCTGAAGTGCTGAGACTTCCTGAAGCAGCACTGTCATCAGAAATACAAAGCAAGCCATACAATCTTAAATGTTCCAATAGCCACATTAAAAATAAAAGGCCATAAAGAAGCAAGCGAAATTAATTTTAATAACGTATCTCATTTAACCCAACATATCCAAAATAGTACCATTTCAACATCATCAATATGAACAAAGTATTGAGATATTTTACATCCTTTTTTCATGTCCTTGAAACCAAGTGTGTACTTTGAGTTTACACCATATCTCAATTCCGTCTAGCCACTTTTTAAGTGCTCAATAGCCACATGCGTCTGGCGACCACCGTATGGAAAAGTGTACAACTGTGGGCTCTAGAGTCCACAATAGTTACTGAAGACAAAGTAGCGGAACCCAGTTAACTCACAGTTTACGCTTATGGCCCAGGGCAGTAAATTCAGATCCTCTGGGGTCTCTCCCTACTTTACTGCCTTCAACTGGCCAAAATAACTTCATTCTCCACACTTGACAGTTAAATAAAAATTTGGTTCATCGTTACATTACGGAGCCCTCCGTTAATATTCCTCATCAACCCTGAAAACTTGCTACGCGGTTCTGCAACTTCAGCACCTGACACACATTTTCACATCCAGAGGCTTCGATTAGAATGACATCAGCTGTGCATCATTCAGACCCCGTGAGTAAGAGCGGTCTCCGAACGGTGACGAAAGCCGAAGCCCTCCTTACAATTTGCTATTTTTAATTCCATCATGCTCGTCTACAACAACGTGACACAACCGGCCCAGGGCCTACGTGGTATTGAGAGATCGTTCTCCCAACTGCCACCTCCAGCTCCAGCCCCATCACCTGCTCCCCGCCCGGGGAAGATGCAGCGGGGAACAGGTGAAGGAGGCCAGAGCCGCGGCAGCCCGTCCCAGGACAGTCACCATCGGGCGTGTCCGGGCCGCGACGCGCTAATGTTTTCGCTGCAGATCACAGAGCCTCGGCGCCCTACAGCCCCAGCCCCCGCACTGCAAAACTAAGCCGCCCAGTCAACGAACGACGCCCCGAGGCCTCGTCAACGAGGAAGGCCCAAGCCAGGCCCAGCGTGTACCCGCGGCCTCCGCTCCCGTCATCCACAAGCCAAGCGCGGCCCGTGGACCATCCGTTACCGCTCGGCCGGGCTTCGGTGTGAGTCCGTACCCGCACAGCAGGCTCAGGTTTCCACAGGAGGCGGTGCGGGGCCCCCGGACGGCGGGACAGCTGCGCTCCAAACGACCACCACAGCTCAGCTGGAAGACAGTGTGCCTCGTGCAGCTGGCCGGCGCGATTTAAATTTCCCGGTGACTCCGCAATCCGATTGGCTGGTTCGAGCCTAAGCTGCGCGTTCATTGGTGGATTTGAAAAACCCGTTAAAAAAAAAAAACCCGTTAGTGAGGGAGGGTGTCAGAAGGCTTAGAAGAAGGAAAAGATAGCATCGCGAGAAGAGGGCGTGGCCTGGCGATCCCAGAGTGCCTTGCGGGCCGGAGTAGGAAGACTCCAGATCCCGGCATGCAGCGCGAAGGGGCGGTTCCCGCCTGGCCCGACCCAGGGGCTCCCTCCGCGTTACTGCAGGATTGGTTCGCGTGTCTTCCCTGGTCGTTTTCCTGCGTGGCTGCCTTAAGCAACTACCACAGAATAATTCTCGAAATTATTATCATTAAAAAAACTTTATGTAGGGCGGGCCCGTGGCTCACTCGGGAGAGTGCGGTGCTGATAACACCAAGGCCCCGGGTTCGGATCCTATATAGGGATGGCCGGTTAGCTCACTGGCTGAGCGTGGTGCTGACAACACCAAGTCAAGGGTTAAGATCCCCTTACCGGTCATCTTTAAAAAAAAAAAAAAAAAACTTTATGTAAAAACATAGTGTTTTGGGCTGGCCCGTGGCTCATTCGGTAGGGTGCGGTGCTGATAACACCAAGGCCATGGGTTCGGATCCCATATAGGGATGGCCGGTTTGCTCACTGGCTGAGCGTGGTGCTGACAACACCAAGCCAAGGGTTGAGATCCCCTTACCGGTCATCTTTAAAAAAAAAAAAAAAACATAGTGTTTTACATTTTTTTCTGGTAGGACACAGAAGGAACTTGGCAGGGGTTTCTGGCCCCCGTGGGAGGGAAAGGTAAAGCAGAGGCGTGTTGAGTTTTTTAGTGTTTTATTTTTATTGTCATAAAAGACTATAGAATCCGCAAATATAGCAACAAGAGGTTTATTATGCCTGTTTCTCCAGACTTTTCTTTAAACTTTTAATTTTTAAGTAATTGTAAATAAGGAAGAATTGCAAATCTACCCAGATTTGCCAAATGGGGCCACTCAGCTCCTGGCTGACCTCTCCCAAATAGATAACGAAACTCACAGGTCGGGCTGCCTGCCCCAGCGCAAAGCAAACCACCCAAAAGTCAAATATTGGTGAACACGGGAGTCAGCTTTTATTCAGGAATACCGCTGACCTGAGGAGAGATGTGAGGCTCACTCGTCTCTCCAGTAAACCTGAAGGACAATGGGCAGGCTAGAGACATCTCAAAGACTCAGATTGACTGAGGGGTTTTTAAAGAAGGTCTGAGGGAATGGAATGTGGGGAATGAAAAGCTGGAGGGAGGGGCACGTGAGCAGCGAGGGCTGCATGCAAGGTCTCAGGTGCAAGGTGTGGCCAAGACTCCTTCTGGTTTCTACTCCAGTCCTTATGTCGGGGTCTGGATAGTACAAGCAAGTCTATAGCTTCAGGCAGGCTGGAAAACAACTTTACATTCATGTAAATAATGTCATCTTGCCCCATAACCAAGGTTCAAAATATCAAATAACCATAGGAAAAGAGAACTCAGAAATGCATGCCAAGAAAAAACCTCTTTTTAAAATTTGCCTTACAGCCTATGCAGTTTTAGGCCCAACATGGCTTCAGTCCTGTTTGCTCCAACAATTTTGCCACATTTGCTATTTCTCTACTTATGCATGTGAGTACACATTTATACATGTGTGCACTTACATCACTTTTTGAACCATTTGACTGTTTCAGAAATCGTGTCTCCTTACCCTTAATCATTTTCAGGGTGTATCCTAAGAAAAAAGAACTTCATATATATAACCACACAGCAGTCATCAAATTCAGAAAAATTGAACTTTCACGATGTTAGTTAATACATAGTCCATTTTCAAGTTTTGCCAATTGTTCCAGTAATGTTCTATGCTATCTTTTATACATTTCTGAATAAAATGTTTGCTTTTTTTTTTTTTTTGCCATTTTTTAAAAAATCAAGGGTGGTTATCACAGCATTAGGATTATTGGCCATTCTTGTTTCTGCAATTTTTCTGTACACTAAAAAGGGTATTTTTTATTTTTTATTTTATTTTATTTTATTTTATTTATTTATTTTTTTTAAAAGGATGACCGGTAAGGGGATCTCAACCCTTGGCCTGGTGTTGTCAGCACCACGCTCAGCCAGTGAGCAAACCAGCCATCCCTATATAGGATCCGAACCCGTGGCCTTGGTGTTATCAGCACCGCACTCTACCGAGTGAGCCACGGGCCGGCCCTAAAAAGGGCATTTTTTAGAAACGTTGTATTGGTTTATGTTTTACTATAGATAAGCAGCGAACTTCGTCCATTCTTGCAGGCATTAGTGCCAACCTCCCTCTTTGTGTAGCAGCCACGGAGTTCGTAGGAGGTTGCTCCTATGCTCAGTCAGCATAATCCCATCCCCCTAAGTGCAAGAATGTGGAAGGAATTCACCCCTAAACCAATCACTGCAGGGCATGCTTTTAGCTACTGTGAATGGTTCAGGAGTGGGCACATGACCTAAATTCATCCAGTTGGGCAGCCTATGCCTTTTGTTTAATAATTGGAGATAGTCAAGCAGGCTCTGTTCTTCTGAACAGAAGCATGTGAGTCCTAGAAATTTGAATAAAAGAATTGTAGGGAAAACTTGAGAGCTCTGATCAACAGTCTGCCCTATCTCTGAAGGCTGCAATTACATTTCTGAAGGTTTGCAATTATGTGATGCAATACTTCTTTTTTTGTATTGTTAAATTGGGTTTTATTTTGCTTGAAAATATTGAGTACAATCTGCCCAGAAGTGTTCTACATATACCAATACATTTAATCTTCACAACTGTGTGAGGTAGTACTAATTCCTGTTCAATTTCACATTGAATCATGAGTGCTTAAGTTGTCCGGAGTTACACAGCCAGTAAATGACAAAGACAGGATTCAGACCTAGGCAGTCTGGTTCCAGGATTCATGCTATCAACCACTATTCTGTTCTTGCACCTGAAAACAACCTGGAACAGAAGTATAATGTCAAAAGTTGTCTTTTTTTTTTTTTTTTTAAAGATGACCGGTAAGGGGATCTTAACCCTTGACTTGGTGTTGTCAGCACCACACTCAGCCAGTGAGCTAACCGGCCATCCCTATATGGGATCCGAACCCGGGGCCTTGGTGTTATCAGCACCGCACTCTCCCGAGTGAGCCACGGGCCGGCCCTCAAAAATTGTCTTTGAAGGATAAAATGTTGACCCTGGGAACCATACATCCCACACTCTTAGCCTTTCGATCCGGATACAAGAAGGGTCTTGTCTGGCCTAGGCATTCCATCCCCCAGACGCAGGGACTGGTTTGGTGACAAACATGTAACATAATGCAATAAAATATTTACTGAGGACTTCAAAATATCCCCTCTCTTCCCCTGGACTGTGTCCTGTGATGATATGAGCCTGCTCCTGAGAAACAAACACAAAAGGTGGATCCTGGTGATGCTCTTTGAATTAGTTCAAGCCCAAAGCTAGTTCTACTCATAGACTCTTTGATTAGATCTCAATGAATTCTCTTCTTCACTAAAAAAATTGGAATTGAGTGTTGTGTCATTTGCATTGGAAAGATTCTTTAACTAGGATTCTTAAATGCCCCACTGGAATGTAAGCTCAATGAGGGCAAGGGTTTTTATCTATTTTGTTCATTGCCAACACCCAGAACAGTGTCTGGAATGTTGTAGGTACACAATAAAAATTTGTTAGATGAGCAAATGATACAGGTGCTTCTGAAACTTCAGTTGAGTACAAATTTACCAATATAGGCCTGAATCTCTAAGATGGTATCAGGAAATTTAAATTTGAGAATAGACAGCTGCTATTGGTCAAATGTGTCCCCCAAAAGTTCATGTATTGGAAACTTAATCCCCACTGAAACAGTGTTAAGAGGGTGGGAAATCCTATTTTTGCAATTGAAAGGTGGGGCCTTTAAGAAGTGATTAGATCGTGAGGGCTGTACCTTCCTCAATGGATTAATCTATTTATGGTCATGGGCGTGGTTATATGGCTTTATAAGGAGAGCAATTGAGAAGCTCTTGCTCAGCCCATTCTCGCCATGTGACAGCCTGCGTCACTGTAGAGTCACCACCAAGAAAATGGCTCTCACTGGATGTGTTCCTTGGACCTTTGACTTTCCAGCCTCCAAATGTAAGAATAAATTTCATTCCTTTATAAATCACCCAGTTTCAGTTACTCTCTTACAAGCAACAAAAACAGACTAATACAACAGCAAAGTCTCTGAAGCCAGGAGATTGGATAAATTATCCAGCAGAGAGTAGATATAAGTATGTTCAGAAAAAGGCCATTGAGCCAATCCATAAACCAGTGAATTGGACTGATTATATGAATGGTAAGACATGTGGCTGATGATATCCAACACTAAGCCCCTGGAGCCGGTATATCCTTATAATTCCCACTTAGTAAGCCAAGACATTCTTTATTTGTATGTATATTTCACTTAAACTAGCTTAAGTTTTCTGCCCCAAGGGAAAGATTTCTTTTTCTTGACTTTTCTTTTCTTTTTTTTTTTTGGCAGCTGGTCGGTGAGGGAATCCAAACCCTTGACCTTGGTATTATCAGCACCACACTCTAATCAACTTAGCTAAATGGTCAGCCCTCCAAGTGAAAGATTTGTAACTAATATAATAGTGCTATCATTTGCAGCTAATACTTTAGTCCACTGTCATAGTTTTCTTGGGCTGCCATTACAAAATACCACAGGCTGGGTAGCTTAAAAAACATAAATTTATTTTATTTATTCATATTATTATCATAAACCCAGAGTCCTTTAGGGGCTGGGTACTCTTTAGAAAGGACTTGCTATAATAACTCATATGCATACTGGGAACCTCCATCTTATTTTTCTTAAAGGACCCCACAGCTGTTTCCAGGATAACTTTGTTCTTAGGAAAGGGAAATATTAATTACTGATTCTGGGTACAGTTTCTGGGGACACAGAACACCACTGCAA